GTTAAGGAATTACAATAATATACTCGCTCTTAAAAAGTATTACTATGAATAAGGAAGTGGAAAGAAGACGGAGCCTGACTAGTTTATCATAGAAATGGACTTACTTCAAAATATTGTTCATAGTGTCTGCTTCAGGCAGATCGATTCTGTAGTTTGTAGATCATATTTGACCCTTATTTTATAGTTTTATCATAGAAGGCAAGTGATTATGAGCCAATTCACCTGTAAAACAAAGGTTTTAGTATCGTACAGACATGACCTAAAAGAATTTGGGGGTAATTCTAGGGTTAGGCTCATGTTCACAAGATACTTCTTCAATATAATGGCTTTTTTGGTAAAGCCCAAAAGCCGACAATCTAAAAAGATAATTTTCCCAATCGACTGATTAGTTAGAGGGAATCTTTTCGCGAAAAGTTTTTAATATATAGGCAAAAACCAAGGCAAAAGCGGAAGTAAAATAAGGCATTAAATTTATATAGTCAGCAATGAATCATTTACTCGTCAAGGCTTTTATTATAACAGGATAGGAACAGTTTACATGTTATGGTCTCCCTCCAACAAGTTAAGAAATCTAGTCTCACTTTCAGGTGCTGGAAGAAGTCTTGTGAAAAATTCCGAAGAATATTGTGATATTTGACGATAAGCTTGTTCCTTTTGTACCTGTCCAGGGAATTGAAGGAGACTATATGTGTAAGAACTTTGGCTTCCAGCTTTTTCGACGAAGGGTGTAAACAGAAGAAAGGTTAGCTACCGATAATACACTGACATTTGCATACACAACAGAGTAAACATTATGAAGAAAGATTTCATCCTAATTCGCATGAGATGATTTATAGACTGATACTTTCCATTACACTCAAGATCGATTATAATCATTTCACCATGGGCTCTTGGATCCATTAACGCTCATAGGATGGAGCTAAGCTAAATATGGGGAGCACTGCACGGTTCAATGCACTAAAAATTAGAGTAAACAGTATTAAAAGTATGATTTTGCCAAATTTGATGGATCTGTATTCAGAACTTAGACTGGCTGCCAACTTATAAATGCTTTGGTCCATAAGTATATTAAACATTCAAACGCTTTTTCACCCACTAATTCTAGATCCTACAAGCAGGCGACAAATATGAATTCATCGCAGAAAAGAAGACAAAGCGGATTCTCAAAATAAAGAATATTGACATGGTAGATGAAGGCGACTATACTTGCAAGACGGCTAAAAAGCTAACCACTGCCTATCTCAAAGTAAAACGTAAGTCAGGCCTTATATGGTACATCATTCGTTATATCGTATTAAGAGACGTTTAAAGACAACAATTCATAATTAATGCTCAGCTTTTTATCATTATAGAGAGTGAATTCTGCCTAATTTCTTTTAGTAATATTTATTATCTATAACCAATGGACCAAACCGTAACCAAGTTATAATTATTAATAGAAGTGGGTTGACCTCGTTGTCGCAACTTGGTCTTGTTGTCAGGAAGACTATCTAGAACGCACCTAGTCCGAAGTCGTCTGCCATAGTAGTTGTCATGATTCCCACTATCTGACAGTGGACGTGATACATTCTCAAAACCTTTCGCCGGCATCGTAATCGGCATCATCAATGAGCTTTGCCATTCGCTTTGACGAGTTCGCGGCTTGGTGCGGAGAATGGTAAAGCTCACTGATTATGCCGACTACGATGCCGGCGAAACGTTTTGAGAATGTATCAAGTCCACTGTCAGATGGTGGTAATCATGACAACTACTATGGCAGACGACTTCGGACTAGGTGCGTTCTACATAGTCTCCCTGACAACAAGACCAAGTTGCGACAACGAGGTCGACCTACTTCTATAAATCGAAAGGAGACTGCGACCATACCAGAGGCCATAACATCTTGGTCTTCATACATTCTATAATTATTAATCATTATTCACTCTAATTTCGCTGTTCCTGAATATTATGAAAGATTAAATATTCACTTTAACGTTTATGTTGTTTGAGTATTTATATAATAAGGTTATGGCGAAAATGTGGTGCAAAAGTCAGGTTCTATTTCCATTTCGCCTTTGATACCTTTATTTTACTACATACCTGAATTTTTTTATGAAAAATTTACTATAGAGTCAACTTATAAGCGTCTTCTAAAGAATTGCTTTAGATGGAAAGCAATGGAATGGATAACTTATATATCCGGAAATATATTCCCCTATAAATTTACATTCTAGGAAGTTTTGCTTTTCCTTATCGTTGTGAAAAATGTGTATTTAAGTGGCAGCATCTTTTATAGCTATAGGAATTTCCCAAGGACTATTTGCCTATTGACCTGATAAATGGTGAAATTTTGTGCCAACCTCATATTTAGTCTTTATTATGGATAAAACAGCGTGATTCACGACAAAGACCATTTATTAATTCACACTTTCCTGTAGATGACAATCAAACTTTTAAGCTATCTCCATGTGTGGTCGTTTACTTAAAATCGATTTAGGAGGACTTTGGATAAAGATAAAGCCGATTGTATTATTAGAACTCTTGAATGAATTGTCAATGTCTATTAAGCAAAATATTTTACCATTTCTAAATTTATGGATGGAAGGTAGAATTTGCCAGTCAGTGAATATTTTAGCATGTTCCAACTTGTAGGTACTTTCATTCACCTAATAATTTATTAAACTCTAATGATGATAAATGTTTGCCTTTTTGGTAAAGCAAGTCATATGATTTTCTATCATTAGCCGACGTGGAATTCCGTCAAAACCTGATTGATACCAAGGGAATTGAACTGAAGCACAAGGAACTTGAATGCAAGGTTATCAATCCGAAGAACTATCCAGTTATCTGGCTCAAAGATGATTCACCCATTGTCTTTGACGACCGCGTTCAGACAAAGGAAGTTGAAGGCACACTTCTCCTCATTTTCAAAGAATTGCATATGGATGATGCTGGCGTCTACACTTGTGTTATAGGCAAACATTCTACAAAAGGCACTCTTGAGGTGAGCTGTGAAGCTATTTCATTCTATTGAATATGCTCATTTTTTTGTCCTCCGTTTACATCGCCCATTTTTTATAAGCAAAATTGCATTCTTTCCTATGAACTAAGACTCCTTTTTCTCTCTATTGTGTTTTTATCAAGAATTTTTTAACGAGAATCCAAATGATTCTGCTGAAAGAGAAATTAAATTGTTTCAAACTCTTATTAATATTTGAAAAATTGCCGACAAAACTAATCCCTAATTACTACATTATAGTGTATCGCTATATTTTAATTATGACTCTTATATTATCTTTCTAACTTACCAGATTGTACTGAATGTCATGTATAAGTATTTCATTTCCTCTCTGCAAGGGTGTATCTATTAATTCTGCCTATCCCTGTTCTACTTGGGTTTCTATTCTTGGAAATTAATGAAGCCAATCATTATAACAAGTAGCGGTTGTACATAAGCGATACTTCTGAGTCAGCGATAGAACGCAGACCAATTGTTAGGCATTCATAAAACATTTACCCTCAAGTAGTTGGAAAACAGGTTTTGGTCTGTCAAACGAGTCCTGATCCACGTTTTAGAATAAACGATAATATTATCTCGCAAAAATTAATTATCTTACAGACTTACTTTCTCACTTATATTCCAGACAAGAGTAATGGTAATACAACTAACGTCACCAATCTCCATGCATCTTTTTACCTTTTCCTATACAGGTGACAGAGTGTGATAAACCACCATCTGTTGATCAGGCAAAGTTTGTCAACTTGGTCACTCTTAAGAAGGGTGCATGCTTTGAATCCGCTCTGCCGTTTAAAGGTAAGCAAAGTAATCCGACGACAGCAGCTTCCTCTGAAGGAAGCCTATACTTACTCGTAAAAAGCATGGCCAGAATGGAGTGGCCTAAATCTATGTCGAAGTTTTCTTTCGCTGTCTATAACTGGTATAGCCCTGTTTTGTAACTTGTTCGAGATTTTAGAGAGACCAAGAAAAGCATAGCTCGAACAGCCATTAAAGTTATTATAACATGTGGCTTCACACCCTTTTCTTGGTACACTCTGAGGCGTTTTGCATCACCGGTCTTAACGTCGAGCCTAAACTCGCAAAAAAGCATTGTGAAGTCCATCCCTCGGCCAAATTACTCCAATTACATTAACTGAATATTTACTCTCTCAACTTCTAGCATATTTATTTGAGATTTGTGATGTAACGGGAGTGATTTATGCAGATGTTGGATGAATGAGTCATCCGGAATAAAGGAGAATAAATATCGCAACCATTCGGCAGAACGTTGGTCAAGTTTCCTGGCAGTTTTGATGCAGTGTGACCTGGCCCTAATACTGGCAAGGATGCTTGGCGATACCGACTCGCATGCTTCAAACCCACGATCTGGAGGTGAAAATTGTCATGACTACTGTCATTTCATGTGATGCAAAATAATATATCTTTACCACAGTCACCCTGACACCACAAGCAAGTTGTGAACTGAGATTAGTCAAATTTACATATAACGTTAATTTTCTTTGTTCTAGTTGAAGCTTGAGGGAAAAGCCCAAATGACGCCGGTTCAGGTTATTACTTTTTGACGAGCCTGCTTAGTGCAGGTAGTCAAAGGATATCTTGATCCTATTACAAAAACCGGAGAATGTTCCCGCATTCAATTATGGGGTTCTGTCTTTTACAGATCTTTGACCAGTAGGCTTTGGCTTGATCCGGTTATCTCACGGCGCATCTGAGCCCTTAATGCTATCGGCCCAGCCATTTAAGTTGGCATCCCTCAATCATTGAGTCGATGCTTTCATAGTTTCGCCCAGATCTGAATATTTAGAAGTGAAGAAAAGTAAAATCCTTTTGCTTTCAACATACTCTTGTGACAAGTTTAGGGCACCACTTTGAGAGACCTTGCACAGAGTGTCTCAGA